GCAATCCCTTTTACTCCCAAGGCTATACTTTCCTCAAGAGCTTCTTGACTAAAGACACCACTGCTTCTATAGGTCAAATCAGGTCAGAATCTTATGGCACTTTCTCTTTATGACATCAGCAATAATTTGGCCATTCTACTTCAGTTCTAGCTAGCCTATACATTTAGAGTAGCTATGCTAGTGTTGGATTCAAATGTGCATACGGAAAGATTTTTTTTATTCCGAATAGTTTTTTTGCAGAACTAACAGAAATTGTATACTATTGAAGATGGAAAAGTTCACATTACATTCTTCATTTTGTATGTTTTGAGGGCTGAAGAAAGCTAATCAAAATATCCCCTTATAGGATAATGTAATGGATTTTATTGGGGGTAAGTGACCTGCTCTTACCAAAAGCTACCTTACAATAACACACACTCATGTGTGTTGTTACTGAAAGATGCTTTAGCCCTGGTGTGCCAGGAAAAATTCCGTGCTAGCTGTATAATTCCTTGTACTGTTTCTGCTAAAACCATTACATGATTTGCCTCATAATTTTAGGGACATGAAATCAGTTAACAGAATAAATCTCTGTCAGTAATAAACTATTTCAATGCAATTGGAGTTAATAATAATACAGTTCTGCTTGCCTTGTACAAGTTGGATCTTAATAATGCCAGCATTAATTGAGTTGTCCTGGTCACTGCTATGAAAGTCTTGGTCTTTGTTGCAGATTGTGGCTTTATGCAGGCTTTACTGCTGGTTCTCTCTTAACTAGCTTGAACTATTGCATAGGTGAGTTTCCCTTTAGAAGTCAGTGGGAAAGATCCATTTGGTTTCTTTTGGCATTATGCATTGTTCTGGTCTGGTTATTTGATGTTAATTTTAATAATTTTATGGCATAACTTTGGACTGTAGTACACTGTAGTAGATATTTGAGATAGAAATATAGAGATACCTACAGTGGTGGAAGAGTAAATGGAGGCACCAGAGGGGGAGATGTGGTTCTCACTGAAATTAGTGATATCACTTTCCTGTCCCATCACTGTTTATTTGTATAAAATAAACCCATAAGAAGGTGGCATGCTATGAAGCAAAGCAACAGCCTATAGCAGTGCTTCCCAAACCTGGGTAATTTAAATTGGGTAAAAGTGGTTTTTCTTTGGGTAGTGATACACAAACCCATTACCCAATCACAACAGGGACATTTAAATTGACTTAAAGATTGCCATGTATATTAACATATATTCAAAAATCTCCCAAGGTATTCCTATTAAGATGAAAATCAATGAAATGACCAATGGTAATTTGTTGAAATGACATAAAGATCATTCAGCGATACTGTTTTTATAATACAGGTGGTCCTTGAGTTACGACCATTTGTTCGGCGACCATTTGAAGTTAGGGTTTTGAGTAATGAAGGAAAAAGTTTGGGAAGCACTGCCCTATAGCATCATAGTAATTTGCAAGTATACCTTTGGGCTTTGCAAAATTTCTACTTGTACAGTTGAGAATATGGCTGTACAAAATGTTCAGAAGAGGTGCTTTGCAATACACAAAGGTGCAAGCAAAGCACCTTTCTTTAGTTTCTTAAAGCGGCCACATCTTTCACCAGTCTTGCAAAATGTTTCAAAGGGATCTGCGTTCAAGTGCATGCACAGAGACTACCCTTTGCTTTCTTCTCACCTTGCGAAGGGGGGATAGCTAATGTTCTACTGCTTTTTGAGTATCCTTGCCTGCCATACAGCCATTTTGTGAATAGGCACGTATCCCATAACAGCCATTTTGCAAATGTGCCCACCAGATGCTCTCAAAATGTCAAATGTGCTCCTGCCCCAGAAAGGTTTCCTATCTCTGATATATTCAATGACAGTTATGCTTTTATAACAACAGTAATCTTGTAAATAACTCTGTGAGACAGATATTTTTAAATTGGTGGACTGATTAACACATGTAGAGTGATAAGAAACTTTGATTTCTGCTTCATCCATGTAAAAACTGCCAGCCATGCTGTTTAGCTACTTTGCCCTAGAACTGGGCTTTGTAATTCCTTGGCTCAAGGTTAACAAGTTCAAGTCAGTGATAAAGCAAACTGGGGAATAGAATTGTTTCCCTACCGGAATGTCCTCATCACTATGTAAAAGTTGCCCTTTTGAAATTCATATGTTTAAGAAAGGTCTGGCCTCTCTCATTGTTTGTTCTTCTAGAAGGACTGTGTTTAAAATATGTTTGTATTAGCTGTTCAGATACCTTACATATCTCTATTTAATTATTTCTGGCAGTAAGCTTGTGATTTTTATATTTTCCTTACTGTAAGCCAAGCTTTTTGTTGCCAGCAACACTGCAGAAATAGGTGCGGCTGGGCCCAGAGGGGCAGGTTGGTTCAAGAGCTTTAAGGGCTGAAATGGGCATCTTAAGCATCTGCAATGTTTAAGACACCTGTTATGCTCCTAAATCCCACCTCCACCCCATGCCAAACATTGCAAAAGAAAGACCCACTATTTGGGGCCACTTGGAGGATATTCTGGGGATACTGGCAAGGGTGTACACAATTGTGCCTCTGCTGTAAATAATTATGGTATGTGATTTGGAGAAGTTAATCGAAATCAGATCCAATAACTGAAAATGCAGTGAGTGATATACAGTATGCATTGTCATATTGTTCAAGTTGCATTATGTGATTGAAATGTCATTTGGGCTCCAGATGACATTTCAGTGAATGAAGAAGCTCTAAAAAGCTACATATTACATATTCTGTTCTATGAGAGAAGAAAGGCTAAGTTGAGAATAAATTAGCACTAAAAAAGAGTCCTAACTTATTAGGTTTCCAATATTAATTTTTATTCCAACCTGTTATAATTTTAAAAGTGTTTGGTCAGTACCATAATGGATTAATGTAAACTTTATGTCTTTTTTTTTTTTCATTTTTAGATTTTCAGCTGAATTCTCATCTATCAACACTGGCAAATATTCACAAGATTTATCATACTCTTAATCGGCTGGTAAATACTTGCATTTTTGAAAAATTATGTTTATTTAATGTTAAATGCATATTTAAGTATTCTTCCTTTATTACTTTGAAATCAGCAATGAAGACCTGTGTAAATTCAACTGTGTATACTTTCATTAGTGCTAATCCCTTTTCTTCAGTGTTCATCTTTAGATTAATATTCACACTCTATATGTACAACTGGCATGTTCACATACTCTTCCATATACCAAAAATACCCATCTGATTCTACTTTTGTTAGAATTCCTATCCTCTTATTCCTACTACCATACACAGCCCTATCTACTTGTAGATTGCATATTAATTAGTATAATTAGTGTGCTGTAGGATTATCAGAAAAAAAAGAAGCCAAAGCTCTTAGTACTGATTATGAAGGGGGTCCCAAAGTTCTGCTTAGTAAGTTTTAATACTTTGGGTTTTTAGATATAATGGGCACAGTTATATTATTTAGTTATGTAAATGTTTGTGCACTTTAATGTGATAAATAATTTGTATCTCTGACCATAAGCACCCTAATTAGATTATTCAGAGCTGCTTATCCCCTTTCAGAATAAGTGTACAGGAAGTCCTTGCCTAACAACCACAATTGGGGCTGGAAACTCATTCGTTGAGTGAAGCAGTTAAGTGAGATGCCCACGTGACTGCTTCGCTCAGTGACTGCAATCCGGACACTCCCAGTTGCAGTTGTTAAGCAATCTCCCAGGTCATTAAGTGAACGGAGCAAAAGAGCTGTCTGCTGAAGGATTTCAACTCCACGCAGAGCTGAAATCCTTCAGCAGACAGCTCTTTCTCTCTGTCCTCTTTCCCCTCCCTTCTCTCGGTGGTGAACAGTGCACCTGAAGATTTGAGGTCTGTGCTTTCACACCACTGAAAGGGGAGGGGAAACCTTTCAGCAATGCGAAGGCAGGGAACTCAAACCCTGAAGATTTCCACTGCCCACTGCTGCGTCCCCTCTGCTTGCAACCTTCCCTGCTGGCTTCCAATGGGAGAGCCAGCAGAGAAGATTGCATATGGCAATCACATGATTGTGGGGCACTTGGCAACCACTTGTAAATGCAAGCTGGTTGCCAAGCACCCAAGTGACCATGGGGGATGCAATGTTTTACGACATCCAGAAGTGCTTTACGGGTTGTAAAGCACCCTTTCTGAGGCTGTCGTAACTTTGAACCATCATTAAACGAATGGTTGTTAAGCAAGGACTACCTATATAATGAGTAGACCTTGGATAAAACATTAAAACGCATCTCAAGCTACTTCTCTGCCCCTTCCCTCTGGAAGCATTAGGAAGTTTGTGTATCATGATGACATGACCAATTGTTGAAATGTTTACAAGGAGAAAGAACTAAGAGTTAGCAAGGCGTTGATTTTTGTCACAGTCTCACAGATGAAGAGAAATGAAAGCTGCTTTTCTCACATCCTGCTCTTTGGCTAATTCTTCTACCAGCATCAGCAGCCTTTTTTCCACATGCCTCCTTGTAATGGTTATACTCTCCTGGGGCACACTCCCTCTGCCCTCTAATGGTTGAACCAAGGAGGGGTGGCTTTGAAAACAAAGATGGTTTGTCATCACAGCGGAATGGCTCAGTAAAGGAAAAACATGCACACAAGTCTTTAAGGGAAGCAAAACTCTGACATTGCCTTTGTGTACTTGGTGACTCTCATAACTTACAGCATGGAACTTTTAACTCCATCTTTTCAGCCAGTTATTCTAAAATAGGCTTGGGTTTGTTGTGTATCTTCCTCTGTTTGATATTTTGTAGTCCAAAACATTTGCAAGGCACTTGGTTGCTTGTGTCTGCTCCAAGCCTAGGCCTTTTATATCCAATCCCTGAGTTGTTTCAATCTGAAGGTGTATTTAATCTCATTGTTAATATCAGTTACATACAGGCTGAATTTATCTTGCTGACTTTGGGGAAAAACCAGGCTGTAATGTCTTATTCATTATTTGCTTGGATGGATAGATTATTTGAAATTCTTAGAAGCTGAGATGAAATCTGGAGCTTCATTGAATCCATACATTTTGTAGTCATTAAAGGGAAATAACAAAATACTATAAAAATATTAATGACAATTTTGACAGTAAAACACTTAAGAATTAACATTTACAGCCAGAGTAACCTAAATCAGAAAAGTTCACAAGTTTTCCCTCAGATAAGGAAGTCAGTTGTAAATGTCTGCACAGTCTGCGACATTTAAATCTAGTGAATCAGAAGTGAGGGAAAGCGGTAGGCCAGAATAGGATAGCTGTCAATATTTGAAACTACAAAGCAATATCCAAACTTCCAGTTAATTAATTTAAATATTTTTCAGAATTTGACAGAAGATACTAGTCAAGACGATCACCAGACAGGTAGAGTTCTTAAGTTTATATGCATTATGGAATTTTTAAGAATGTTAGATAAAAAGGAAACATTAAGTTTTCATTTGTTAGACAAATTTGTGTCATGTTTTAGTGTTAATTTCTACCAAAAATGGAGGAGGGATCCTTCCCAGGATTTATAAAAAATGGTGCGACAGTTTGTTTATAAAGGTGTGATAATGTGTATTCAAATATTTAATATTGTTATATCAATTACTCTTTATGTCTAGTAAATGTTCAGTTAAAACAGACTGCTATAGGCTGGGTTAAAACATTTGATTAACCATGGTTTGTTTAATTATCTTCAGTGAATACATCAGAATTGGCTGAGTTCACACAACATGGTAAATCATAACCACCAGTTCACAAACTATTGTAACTGAGTTCACAAAATGTGCTAGGGAAAAAAAACCATTTTAGTTTATTGTTGTATGAATCATAATGTGATTTGTTTTTAGATAATGTTAAGGATAATGTTTGATTTCTTTAGAGTGCTTTTACCGAACTGTAGTATGTAGTGAAATCTTTAGTGTTGTGTTCATTTTCAGTGATCATCCTTTGCTTACAATACACTTGCTAAATGTATTGCTTGACTTTATTATATCGCTGCTGTTGGTTCTACACTAAGAAGTTGCAGCTCTTTGTTCTGTAGCAAACCTATAATTTGGTAATATTTTTAAAGTGACAACTCCTGTTACCCTACATAATTGGCCTATTGACAGAGGATGTTGACTGCGCTTTCTTTATATGCCTTAATTTCAGCAGAAGATAAGGTACATGTATAGTGATCATTCATATGTACAAAGGGAACAAAGTTGATAAATGCAGTATGTCAGAGACACAAAGTTATAGTAACTAAACCACAGTTTCTCAACCTTGTCAAGTTTAAGACCGGTGGACTCCAACTCCCAGAATTCCCTAGCCAGCATTTGCTGGCTGGGGAATTCTGGGAGTTGAAGTCCACCCATCTTGAAGGTGACAAGGTTGAGAAACCCTGAGCTAGACATTGGGGATGTGTTCATAAAGTAACACTTAAGTAAACAAGAAAAAGATGGTAGCTGAGTTTACAAACTTGTACTTTACTGAAGTTTGGAAGAAGCTGTTTTTAAGTTTTTAAGTTAAAAAAACGTTCCTTAGAATTTGCAACCAGAACAGTTTTTCTGATGTTCTGATAATGAAAAATACTTATTTTACTCATTCATTTGCCTTAATTAGCATGAGGATTGATTTTGCATCTGAAGATAAACTCCAGCTAGATGAATCATATAAATTTTATAAGGAAAAGTCTGCAACAGTAGAAAAGTCTCTAACAGTAGAATACTAACAAAGGTTCTTGACTTTACATTGCAGTACCTGTTCCTGTTTAATATGTTTTAGATTTATGTGGTTATCACAAGATCACACACATTCATCTACTTCTTAAAGGCTCACATGGAAAGATATAAACCTTAAGAGGCCTATTGCTAACATAATATGGAAAGCAGCCACAATATTGGTTATTTTGAGAAATACATACAACTTTCTGCAGCTTACAAACTGATTTTAAATAGTTTGTTCTGAGGATTGGTTCTGTTCCTTCTTGAGTAGATGCCGTTCCCTGAATAGACTCTCCTCTTGAATATTTAGGGAAGGGTATCTGATATCAGCAAGAATAAGGAGCAGAGTAATATTTTTATCCAATACAATAATATTTTGGGGAAATATAGGATAAACTGAGGAAATAGTTCAAGAGGTATGTTCAGCTCTTGCTGTTTGCTAATATTATAGGTTACAGACAAGGGTTCTTATATGCTAGATTTTATAGTCCATTTATGAGATTTTTGCATGAGTTAATTGGACACTTGCTTAAGGTTGATTTTTTCATGGGCTAAAAATCATTTCAAGCAGATTTAAAGTTATGTTAGTTGATTATTTTTAGATTTTATAAGGGCTTTCTATGTAACAATTTACAGTATTCTGGTATGTTTTCTTTCAGTTGTGTTTTGGTTTACGTATTACTGTATATATTCCTACAAGAAGGCCTAAATAGCTCTGAAGTTGATCTAGTCACTATTTACAGTATTTAAAATTGGCTTGAGGTCCAAGTTTGTCATGAAGCCAGTTTGGACTACTCCAATAGATGACTTCAGCTGAATGAGAATGAATATCATAGTTAATTCTCTTATAGCTTTGAACATTTAATACTTCAAACATTTAATACTACTTAGCCAAATTCAAAAGGAATGTGTTGGGATGGGGAAACTTGCTCTCTACATGATATTAACTCTGCTATGTAGCTTTGCAGGGTTAAATTTTATCTCCCTGCTTTTCATAAGGACCTAACAACAACAACCCTACTAAATTAGGCCAAAGCTCAACCTAGTGCATCATTTTGTTTTTCACAATAGTCAGTAAGATGCCTCTGGGTGCCTGCAAAAACTTCTAATCAACATCAGTGGATGATCTCCAGCCTTAATGTTTTGAAATGGGAAGAAAAACTCTGTCTACTTTCTCAATACAATGCATGCTTTTTGCACATCTTAATCATACCACCTTTAGTTGCCTTTTTCAAAGAGGTTCAAATGTTTTAACCTCTTCTCATAAAGATATTTTATTAGCCTCCTAATGATTTTTGTTTTCCATCTGTGGGGACCAGAACTGTTCACACTATTACAAATGCTAACATACTATACATCTGTACATTATTATTATATTATGCCTTCAGCACTGGCTCCTGGCAACTCCTGAACTAGTCCCTGCAGTTTTCTGATTTCCAGAAATGGTTTGCCATTGCCTTCTTACTAGGGCTGAGAGAGTGTGTGGCTGGCCCAAAGTTATCCTTTGTGCCTAAGGTAGGATTAGAACTCTGTGCTTTCTAACCTGGCACCTTAATCACTACACCAAACTGGCTCTCTATAGATCTATATAAGGGCATTACAATATTGGTGATTTTATTTTCAATTCTTTACTTAGTTATAGATAATTCAAACATATTGATGTATATGTGAAGTAGTGCGGGGGGGGGGTTACCTCATTGTCATCAACTCACACTTGAATTGAATTGCATTTGCCAATTAGTTGACCACTTACTGTTTAAAGAGATCTTTCTGGAGCTCTTTTGTTTTTTTCCACCCTGAATACTTTGGTTTGTAAATTTGACCAGATCACTCCTATGCCTAAGTCACAGTGATTTATGATCAGGCTAAAAAGCACTGGTCCCAAGCATTCAAGGTCCTTGAGTGACTTTACTTCTTGCTTTCCTCTATTGAGAAAATTGCCTATCTATGTGAAACTGTTGTGAAGTGAGCTTGAGATATATGTATATACATTTTTATCCTGCCCCAATCAACTCTGAGCTGTTCACAATTAAAACAGTCCATGAATGAAAACTCAGCCCCCTCAAATCAGCATAAGTATAACTAAAGAATGGATGCGGAATCACCATCAACTAAAATGCCAGCTTAAAAGAGTTTTCAGAGATTTCTGGAATACTAAGCATAAAAACTTTAAGCTTTATATCTGGGAGCAGCATGTTCCACAGTGTTGGAGCAACCACAAAGAAGACCTGCCTTCTGCCTCATATCTCATTCATTCCTTGCAGTGATGAAATCCTGAGCAAGCCCTGTTTCAATGCTGTCATAGGGTGGGCAGAATAATTTTAGATAAGGCGATCCCAGGTATAATCTGGTGCTGTGGCATATAAAGCTTTAGAACTGATAACCAACACTTTGACTGCAAAATAGGTGTTATCCTGCAATAGCAGGTTCTACTTGCTAGCAGTTTGGCCACTGCATTCTGTACCAGTTAAGCTTCTGAGTCATCTTCTGATTTAGAGTGAAATATGATGACCCATAGCTCTTTTCAGTAAGTGTCTGTTTCAAACTTGGAGAACCCTTTTAAACCTGGCTCTTATTCTGAATGCTTAGGTTTTATTTGTAGCAATTCTTCCTCAGCAGATAGAATCCAAGCATGAGTGACCGTGGCCTAGAAACATCTATGTTTGGTGGCTGTAAAATACTGTATGTGAAAGTACCTTATATGAAATGTAGTCATTAGATGATAATCTGCACAGTTCCTGTGGAAGACGTATTGATGATTTTGAAAGTGCTTCACTAGCTATAGATCAGAGTGGGGTGCAGGATTTCATGGATTATCATATAGGCTCTCTCCTCCTTATCTCTCTGCTTGTTTGAAAGCAAGGCTTTCTCTGGGAATTTTTATCTCACAGAATTTATGTGGAAATCAGATTTCGTTAGTAGTGGCACGCCTTCTTAAGGACTGTATATCTGGCATCCTTATCAGGATCGGTTGTTATGTAATAGTGGCTTTGTTTGGTGCTCTTTTAATTTTCAGTCTGTAGCAATTGTAGCTATTTTCAGAGATTTAGGAGAATTGCACATTTGAGTTTTCTCTGCTGATGCTGTAGTGTGGCATTTTGACTTTTATGTGTCTTCTGATATTTTTATTGCAATTTATTGTTCAGTGGTTTAAAAGGTATGCATTTGATTGATAAGCTGCCTCAAACCCTTGAGAGAAAGTAGAACTTGATGAAATAAGACATTTTTAGGGAAGGTGGTTGAGAAGGTGGTGGTGTTGCAGCTCCAGAGGATCCTGGAGGAAATGGATTATCTGGACCCTTTTCAGTCAGGTTTCAGGTCTGGATTCGGGATGGAAATGGCATTGGTCACGATCATGGATGATTTCTAGCAGGAGCAGGATGGGGGTAATGCATCTGTCCTTACTCTTCTTGACCTCTCAGCAGCTTTCATCACCATCGACCATGGTATCCTTTTGGGTCGACTTAGGGAGTTGGGAGTGGGTGGCACAGTTTTGCACTGGTTCTCTTCCTTTCTCCAAGGTCAATCCCAATCGGTGTTGATTGGGAGTTAGAGGTCCAGCCCATGGCCCCACCATTGTGGGGTATTGCAGGGTTTGGTACTCTCTCTGAGGACTTTTACTTTTTAACATCTACATGAAACCACTGGGTGAGGTCATCTGCAACCATGGGATGAGGTATCAATATGCAGATGATACCCAGTTATACATCTCCATTCTGGGTGACTTGAGTGATGCCATGCCCACCCTTTCATGGTGCCTGGAAACTGTAGGGGTCTGGATGGGGTGCAACAGGCTTCAACTGAACCCTGGTAAGACGGAGTGGCTGTGGATTGGAGGCCCCTCTGTATCTGAGAATTTACCATCTTTGATTTTGGATGGGGTTGCACTGCCCCAGACAGACCCAGTGTGTAATCTGGGGATCCTCCTGGACTCATGACTCTTGCTTGAGCAGGTGGCAGTCATGGCCAGGAGGGCCTTTGCCCACCTTCATATGGTGTGCCAGTTATGCTCTTTCCTGGATCTGGAGGCTCTCTGGTCATGCTCTGCTCATCTCTTGGTTAGACTATTGCAATGTGCTCTACATGGGGCTACTCTTGAAGAGTATCCGGAAGCTATTGTTGGTTCAAAATGCAGCTGCGTGGACAATCTTGGGTGCCCCAAGGATGGCACATGTAACACCTTTACTGCAGGAGCTGCATTGGGTGCCAGTTTGCTTCTGGGTCCAATTCAAGGTGTTGGTTATCACCTTTAAAGCCCTATATGGCATGGGTGCAGGTTACCTGAGGGACCATCTCACCCACATCACGTCAACCCGTCCCACCCAGTCAGGCAGAGAGGGCATGTTGCGGACCCCGTCAGTAAGAAAATGTCCTGTGGCAGGGCCCAGGAGGAGAGTGTTCTCTGCTGCTACCCTCGCCCTTTGGAATATTCTCCCCTCAGAGGCAGTGGGCCCCTACCCTCCCGGTTTTCTGGAAAGGACTAAAAACCTGGCTCTGCCAGCTTGCGTGGAGCAATAAGAGCTCTAATCAATCCTGGGGGTGGCTGGCACCCTGATGATGCTCCCTGAGCTAGTTGCCAATTCCATCAATTCTTGGAATTTATTTATGATTTATTTAAGACTGTTTTTATATTGTATTTTAATTGATTTTATCTTCTCTGTAAACTGCCCACATTCACTTTTTGACAAGATGGGCAGTGACAAATTTGATATATAAACAAACAAACAAACAAACATCTACCTATTTCATTGTTGTCTCTTTTTCCTACATTCTTCCCCAGGAAATCTGAGGTCTTGCAGTTCATCAGACAGTTTTAGCAAAGTGATGCCTCCAAGGAAAAAAAGGCGACCTGCAGCGGGTGATGATCTGTCGGCTAAGAAAAGTAGACACGATGGGTATGTAATCTTTCCTATGCAATGATTTTTTAGTTAGGAGACATGATGTTTGGAAGGGCAGCAAATCAGGAGATGGTGGTTGAAATTTCAACTCTATCACCAGCTTATTTAAACGAAATGACTAGGCTTTCTTATGCTTTGCGGGCCTGGCACAATATACTTTCCTTATTTTAAGAGTTACCATCAATGCTATCCATTCTCCTATAAGAAATTGTTTAGTATGAAAGATTTTTCTGTAAACTTATAATTTGACCTGTGGATCTTACACAGCTTTGATTATGTATGTATGTATGTATGTATGTATGTATGTATGTATGT